GAAGTATTTTCCATGAGTAATGATTTCCTCAGCCCTCCAGGTTACACATGTATGGTCCATGAGGTGTCCTCCTTGTTGACAAACCTGCCGGAACCATGTGGGGAGTTAGTTCTTTATTTTAAGTATCATTATCAACTTAAGGACTTCAAACACGATTAATTATTTGAATCCATTGTAGTATTATCTTTATTGATGTTCAAAAAGATCTGCCTTTGGCTGCGTGGAATTTATGCAGGCTGGCTCCTGATTTCCTTTACTCATTGAGATGCCACTAATTAATGAAAAGTGTTAGATCCTGACCTGGTTTGAATAGATTGAATAATCTCTGAGCAGGTTATATACACCTCATTGTATTTTGTCCTCCTCGTTGGTACTTATTAGTAAACTTTATATTGCAGATCCATGATTCCATGCACACAGACTGTTTATTAAGGCAAAACATTGAGTGATTGGGTCCCTTTAGGATGGTTTCCTCTTAAGCAGCCTGCCAGTGAGATATGATGTTATTCCTAGTTGGACCCCTGCTGTATTCCCTCAGGTCTCTGGTGGATGTGTCATCAGAGTAAAGTTCCGTTTGACCCCAAAGCTGATGATTCTCAGTAATTAGCTTTGCATGTTTTCTCTTACGGCCGATGAACTGTACCTGTGGTCTCTTCCTCCTCCTTGCGACTGTTTGTGGTCATGCTGTCAATCCTCTTAATGTTCCTCGCCCTTTTCTTCCCGTTGATTTTCCTTTAACGACTTTATTGCGGGTAAAATTCTATAATTAACAATGTTTCTTCTCAGAATAGAAGGGTGGGATTATTTTTTTGCAAATATATTGTTCTTCTTAGTTAAATTTGTGCCTTTTATTTATTTTTTAGGTATTTATTTGTTCTTCAGTTAAAACAAGATATCCTCAGTGGAAAGTGAGTATTATTTGAGGTGAACTGCACGTTTTCTTGGGTGCTTGAAAAATAATTTTAAAAAATAAATTCATAGTTAATCGTGAAAAAGAAATGGTTCATTTCAAGTATGTATTTCCATTTTTCTTAAAATGAAGGTTGTGAAGTTGACTAGTCTAACAAGCTCTGTTTTGGTCTCAGGTTAGAATGTCCCTTTGATACAGCAGTTCAGTTGGCAGCATATAACCTGCAAGGTAAGCATTTCTTCTGTTGGCTGTAAAGACTAAAGCATAATCCTTGTGTGCGGGTGTGCGTGGGTTTTAGTTAAGTAGTTTAAAAGATTAGCATGATGAGCAAGAGAAGAAACAAAACTGTGTCATCTAAACTACCTTGTATCAATACCCAATCTCTGACTTGTTTTAGAACACTGCCTTCTTTTAATTCCCTTTCGTTTTTTCCTCCCTTTCCATGTATAATTTTTTCAAACAAACATTACAGTCTGCTTGATAATTCAATACATGCTGTAATTGAACTCAAAAGAATGCAGTGATACAGGACTAAGTTGTTGCTATAGGCACATGGTTTGCTGCGTTTATTTAGTCTTGTTTCTAAAAACGAATCCATGAAGGAAGTACTTAGAACGTATTTTAAAATTCCTGATGTTTATTTCAAGAACTAAAAAAGAAATCTGTTTCGCAAACTTACCCTTTTGTACCTTGTTAAGTTGATCAAATATTGTTAAACTTAGGTTTTTCTTGTAAAAAATTGATATTATAAAGGAAGACTATATCATTTCAGTCCTTGTTTATAAAATGAAAAGAAATATTTTGATTGGAGTATCTGTATATACTAGAATGAAAATTATGTTTACCGATTACCTAGAAGGTAATATTTTAAAGCTTTTTGGGTGAATCCACAATTGTCCCCAGCCTCTCTAATAATATTTACTTACCATTGTGTAGATAATAATAAGGCTAACATTTTAGGTGTTACGGTAAATAATATTTTTTGCTTATTTTGCTCTTCTGCTATTTATGAAAACATATTTTTCTGTTGATCTAGGGATTGGTAATTGGAGGAGATTTATGTATTTGAAAAACTTTGCCACAAATGTAAATTATTATCTGTCTGTCTCCATCTACTGTCCCCAGATTTAAAACTTATGTTTTCATCTGCAGAGTGTCATATAGATACTGCCTTGGAGATGATATGCTTCTAGCATATCATAATGATCAGAAGTATGTAATTGCACTCTTATTTTCTTGCAAGCACACTTTTTACATTTCCGTATTTCCTGTATGAGGTTGTTAATTCTAAAAATTACCAGATGTACTGAAAAGCTGTCATTTTCATTGTCTGTGTTACACTGTTATTGCTTTGTATATTCTGTCTGTGCTTCATTATGTAGGTCTCATGCAGGCCAAAGTATATGCTTTTTGAAAATATGATTTTTATACATATTTGTGTATTTTAATAAAACAGTTGGACACACACATGCACGATAAATACTTATTTTTTGATTCATATCTGTGACTGTGTTCTCTCATAACCCTACTTACTGTATTTCCTCCCAAATAAAAACTCTTCCTACTTTCTCTTCCAGCCATGGCACCTCTGTTTTTATAATTCCTCCAAATTTCATATTTTGTGCTACATCTTAAGCATAATAGTGTACCCAGTCCTACTAATTCTTAAGGTCTAAAGTATTGCTCCTGTCTTCGTAAAATGTGCTCCTTGTTTCTCATTTATGATGTATGTTTTATATCAGAGTAATTTTTCTACTGGCTTTTTTTTCCCCCCACTTTTTCAAGGTCAGTTTTTCTTTACTATTTCAGTCTAGATCCTGAATAATGTTATGTGGCTGATGTGGTTTGGTACTTCTGAAAGACGTGGTGATGCAGACGGAAGAACAGTTTCCTAAGTTGTAAAATGGATATGATATATTTATTTTCCAGGGTTGGCGTGAAGTCTGTAACATGTCCAGTGGGCAGGGTTGGGTGCTCAGTAAATAATGAGCTATTACCATTATTATTATTGATCTCAGGCTGGTTCTCATGCATTTTCTCTCCCCAACTGTATTTTTTCATCAAAACGCAAATGCTTTAATTTTTTAATAGAACTAATATATTCTCTTAAAGAAAAATTTCAGAAGTGTAGAGAGTTAGAAGTGCTGTCCATCCTTCCCCACTGAACCCACATAGCAGACACAAATGTTCACTGGGTCATCCAGCTCCCTTCCTGCTACTCCTCTGTGGTTTGCCCATTATTTTCCCTTCAGTTATTTATTTAGAATTAATAAATTTAAATCCCAGGAGGACAGGTACTATATCTTACAGTGATACATAGTGTCATGTTCTGGGCATATTAGATACTTAATGTTATCATTTGTTGCCATACTGCATTCCAACTCATGGTGACCCCCTGTGTGCAGAGTAGAACTGCTTTATAGGGT